TAGCCTCAGTATTGACTTCTATGTTAAAAAGTTAATGTGATGTTTGTCAACAAGATCCTCTTGTGTGTAAAGTTGGTCAGTGCAGTTTTATTGATCTGTGAAACATTTAGAAGACTAAGATGTTAGTACAGAGATGTTTCATCAACAAACAGGAAGGTCACTGATGTAAACAAACTAATTTTTTTCTTTCCTCATTTAGCAGTGAATGATTGATCCCTGCTAGAAGTGCAGGGGGTATTGCTGTAAGGCATTTAATGCTTATTTGTAGGCAGCTTCCTCCTTAAGAAGTTAGGGCATGTTTACTTTTGGTGTAGCATTGCTTTTGAAAGTTTTCTCTACACCCAATGACTTGCCTAGATAGTAAACAAAGAAACAGTTTTGAAATGAAGTACTAAGTCACAAATCATACATTAACTATACTCTCACTCTGCTGACTTGACTTTTTGAGACTATGACATTCCTATTTAATTTTTTAAAAATGCTCCCCCCCCCCCCCCCCCCCCAAATCCTGTACCTGCATAATGAACTGAATTTACTATGAAAGTTCAGTCTCTTCTCCCTTACATTGGGGCACTACTTCTCCATTTATTATGTATGAATATATGAATCCATCTAATTTGTTTTTTCAAGATGTGAATAGGTAGACAAAATGGATAAAAATTGGACCTTCATTCTTCCTCGATGAGGAATCCCAGTGTGATAAGACAAGGAAATGATTTAAAATACTACTGAAAAATATTCTGTTGGAGAAAATTTTGTCCACCAAATCACAGAAATCTTTATCATTATTTCTTTGTTTTAAAAAAACCCCTAAAATCTGTTTTCAAATGTAAGTTTAGGATGGACTGTCAGAGAATATGGACTGGGTGCTTTCTTTTACAAAAAGAAAATAATCGCATCAGATTCATAGTAGAAATAGTTTGACTGTGTGTTGTTGAAATTGTTGTATGACATCTACAGGTCAAGGTCAAGAATTTACCTTCAAGGTCAATCGTGTAATGAAATGCATTTTTGTAGGTCATGGTCATGAACAAAAAGAAACCATACAACACAATTTAATTACTAAAACGTAGATTATTATAACAGAATTAGAACATTGTTAGATCAGATTATGAATAGTATATTGTCCCTGATTAGATTATGCAATATTGTGTAAACACTCAAACCTATTTCACGCAGAAATGCACGTCATTCCCTAAAGAGTTTTTTATCAACTCGTAGCATATGGTCTGACAGTGCTGCATGCAGGTGCGTAATTTATCAACTACACATCACTACCTAATGTATTTTGTTTGCATGTAATATTTTAGCCTTAATATCATATTATGTAGACTTGATGTAACGGCTTCATTTGCAGTGATAATGTGATACACTTCAACTCGAGATATAAATAGGCAAGGCTGCTTTGCCAGTTTAATTTCATTAGAAGAAAAATATTGACAAGAGCTTGTTCTCTTGGGGACAATATTTAAATCTCCAAGAAATATTTTGCATTTTTCTAGACGTTATAAAACTAGCTGTGGTTTAATCCATATTCAATCAGTGTGCAGGAAGACTGTTCTTTGATCTCTCCAATCTCAAAAAGCATATCCTGAATATGTTTTTGTGTTGTGCTATATCATTTCCTAGCTGTTTTCAGTTAAACATAATTTCAAACTCTGCCATTAATATGGTTGGGGCATATAGTGTTTGCCATGTCTGTCTTCCATCCTTCTGTCTTTCTGTCCTTCCATCCTTCTGTTTGTCCATCCATCATAACACTTTGCATTTACCTCAGTTTCAAAGAAACTTTTCAAGATATTTTATCAAACTTCTTGTGCTGATACATATTGATGAGAGCTATTCAAGTGCACCAAAAATGTTTGACCTTGACCTTCTTCTTAAACTCACTATTCTTAAATCGTATATAGCGCATTTTCAACTAGGTTAACAAGCAATAGGTTTTCAATAATAGGTTAAAAGAAACAAATAAAATTTTTTTTTAAAAACAACAGTTAGGTTACAATAATAGTTTGACAACCAATAATAGGTTAAAAAATATTAGGCTGCATGTAACATTAGAGTAATAGTAACAACCAGACCGATAGTAACAAACTGAAGAAACAAGACTGAAAAATATTTTGACTATTATGTATACATGTAGTTTGATCTGCTTTCTTTATTTAGGTAATCAGGATGTTTTATTATTATTTTTTTTCTTTCAGGAAGATTCTGTTTTGTTTTGGATATTTGATCAATGGATCAAACTTTGGATTACAAAGTAATAGGTGAGTACTTACACAGCAATACATATTTAATGTAATATGGAATAGAGAGAGAGGGAAATGGAATATGATTCTGTGTCCTCTCTATGACTCTATGGTTACATCATTGACCAAGAACTAAAGACTTAATGCTGACCAGTAGAGAATTATACTGACCCCAGGAATGTGATAGCTGTTTGTCCACCATATGTTCTCTGTAGGTGACCAAACATTTGTTACTAAGAACTTGTGGACATGCATTGGTTCAATTAGTGTAATTATAAGGTTAAAGTCTCAAGAAGGTAAAAAAAGATGTTGACCTTTGAAGTTTTTGAAGAATTACGTTAGGAGTTTTATTGGGTGTTTCTGCTGCAACATTTTGGTGAGAAAATGAGAAATCAATAGTAGTTAGCAGTGAAGTAGTTTGGGTTGTGTGACTTTTATTAAGTAAATATCAGTATCAAGCACATGATTATTGGTTCTCATCTGAAATCTGAAAAAATTCACTTTGAAGTGTGAGTTTCTTGAAAGATTAAACAAAATTGGACAAATTAGAGAGAGAGTGTGTGTGTATTCTCTGATTGTTTGGTTTGTCTGATACACTAGCTGACAAATCGACCAGTTGGACAATAACTGGAGAGACGTTGATATTGTTTGATTTAGGGGTCATGACAGTTAGTAAAAGAAGGGGCTGAAGTGACCTGCTATTACCCTTTTGTCAGGACTGACCAAACACAAAATCCCCTGACCAAGATAACATGAAAAATTCTCTAAGTTATCAGGTCTCTCTGGCTTGTTAACTTAGAAGAGAAACCCCCCTTTGACTCTGAATTGAAAGTTTAAGGTCTGGGTCATTTACTTGAAGATTTTATATGGAAATTTGACCTGGTCAATCTCTTGATACTGGTGGGTTATTCTTAGATTTGTTATATCCTTTCCTAAGTTCAGACTAGTCATCTGAACTTTACAAACCAATTATTTAACAAATATCAAGATTTAACCCCATTTACTGTTGCTTATTTTGGGGGGTTCTTTTCTGGTTCTCTGGTACCTTTCCTGCAGGAGGAATGGTCATTTTTTACCCAGGCCTTACTTACTGAGGTCATGTATACCTGTCTGTGTAAATATTATGTCTACTTTAACATGACCCTGGTCAATTTAAAAGTGGGTACATAAGCTCTTGTAATACACTCAACTTTTTAAAAAAGCAAAGTTTTGCCATTGAAGAAGAGTGTTGATTTTCATGTTTAAAGCATGATGGTCTTCAAATATGTTTTGTAATTGATAATTTACCCTTATTGTAAAGTCTGTAGAACTCTCAGAATTCATTAGATTCTTTGGACAAAATTTAGCATAGATTTACCAGTGAGAAATTAACTTAAGCATGTGTATAACATTCAGTGTTCCTAATAGCGTATTTGGATTAATTTTCAATTTTATCATATATAATTTATATGACACCAGTCAAGATAAGTGAACTGAATTTTTTTTCAGTAAATGAGCTAAAGTCAGGATTATGATTTCACTCAGTCATTAATATATTGATTCACTAAAGATCACCAGTTCTCGTTTGTTGTTGAAGATGAAAATGGCAAAGCTAATTTTGGAGTATATATCATCATCATTTCCAACATCTCATCAAAATTAGAACCATAAATCTTCTGATGGTAACACATGTAATAAGATACCTTTAGGTACAGCAAAAATTCCTTATAATAACTCTGTAATGGATTGATATTTTACTATCTTTAATATGTTATATGGGGAAGAAAAATATAGCCTGCAGTGAAAGCAGTGGTGTTCAGTATTAAAATATTTCACTGTATACAGTAACACTTCATTATCTCTAAATCAGAAGCAGTGGTTCATGATGTTAATTAAGCTCAGATTCTACTTCATGATACTGTATGCAGTTATGAAATGCCAAAGGTCAACTGAATATTTATATATTTTGTTAGTCTTTGAAAGGAAAAAAAAAATGAGTAAAAGTTTTTGTTTGGTTGAGTTTTCATAATCTTTAGGTTTTAAAGTCTGGAGGTTTTGTGAATATTTATATTATATGGATGACTGTAAGTTAAACATACATATTCTAAAAATGATTAAATAGTGTTGATCTGACTGTGTGTCAGGGTCATATATATCACCATTTATCACCTTCCTCCCCTAATCATTATGATGAAAAGAGCTCAAATTGTGCAGCACAAGTTATAGTGTGCACTGCAGAGAGCTATTTATTTGAAATTGATAAAAAAAATTTTTTTTTTTCAATGATTCAAGGTCATTACTTTGAAGATAAAATCTTTAAAAATTTGGATATTTGTCAAGTTTATATCTTCAGTATATGTTCCATCAAACTCGAATAAAAGAAAGACTGCATAATTATTCATCATAAGAACTTGCACATGTACAGATGTTTAATCGATCATTTATTGAGAATTATGTAAATTATTATAGTTTGACAATTGTGTCTTAGTCTAATAATCTAGCAGAGTATTTTAATCAAATTAAGAATTAAAAAAAAAAAATATTTCAACGACAGTACAACACATTTTGTAAGCTCTGGAAATCACAACGGTACCATATCAATTTTTAATGTATCAAGATAGAGCAGGTCGTTATTTTTCTTCAAGGCATTTTGTCAATAGAATTAAGTTTGTTTATTCTCATAAAAAAAAAAAGCCGTAACACAGGTATACAGAATTAATGAGCAGATTGCTGAAGAGATAAAAGTAATATTTATGTGAGGCCCATAAAGACAGTGAATCAATCTGAAGACCGAGATCTTTTTATCTGAGCTTTTTTTATATACATAGGTATAATGTAGATATAATTTTGAGGTGTTACATTGCTCTTTTGTTACAGAAACCTTGGTTTGGAGTTAGCAGTAAAGGATGCAGTTTTTTCCAAGCTATTTTTGAACCCAGTTAAATTATATATGAGGTATCATATAGACAGAGAGATGTTTAGTGCATGTACTTTCTGATGCTTCCATTAGTTGGGGACTATCTATAAAAAGATCTTTTTTTTTCTTTTTTTTTTTAAAATTTGATGATGTGTGAACACAATTAAGTAAATAAAAAAAAATGTGTTGGTGCTCTTCTGTTGATCAACTGCTGACAGAATGATTTTTATGATATTGGGAATTGATCTGATAAACTTTAGTGCTTTTCTCTCTGTCATTAAATATTCTGTATGATATAAAATTTGTATCAATGTTGATGGACAAGTATGAACTCCGTCTGGACCTGCTTGGGCTGTAAGAGGCCTCTCAAGGTTGTTTTTCCAATCATACACAAGAGAAGTAGGTCTACTAGGAAGGGAACAGTGTCATTTCTTCTTACATCATTAAAGGCCTACTGTTTAGATGCAGTGATTCAGGCACAAGGTGCTTGGTTCCAGAGAAAATTACCATCTTTTGACATTTTTATCTAAGGTGATGTATGAAATATCTAAGCATCTAAGCATTTCAGGAGAAATCAATTCCATTTTCCTAAGGCATATAGTGAAAACAGTTCCTGGCTGCTAGAGAGAAATAGAGACCACTGTAATATTGGGGATTAATGTGCTTACATACAAGCAGATTATTAGCTATGAGGTTGCAGTCTCTTATAGAAAAGTTTGATTATTAATGAAGGTGGTAATCTGCAATGACTGCAAAGTTCATGATACGTAGGTGACTCATTGCCAAGCATAAGCTCTGTATAAAAAACATCAATGAAAAAATAAGTTTTTCTCCAAGTAAAAGTAAGAAAAATCAAACATGACCTGCATTTGAGAACTTTAAAGTTGATAATATTCTCTTCGAATTGTCTTGCAGAGGAAGCACTCACATTGACAAATGAAATCCCTTTTACCCCCTAGTCTGTCACAGTTAACCCCCTTTAGTTGATAAATTAGGCAGATCTCAAGGCCTTAAACCTGATTAAATCTGTGGTGAAAGTCCTTATGGGCCATATCAAAGCAGCTCCCCAGAAATGGAGAGGGCAGGTGAGATCAGAGTTAAAATTGCCCAATCATTGTCATATGTACGTTTTGTTGATAATGTATACCAAGAACAGATGGAGCAGGTGTAAAAAAGTGTGACATTCATCACAAATATTTGGTTCAAAGGACTGCTGCCATTATAACCCAGAGCTGGGCAATGTTAAATTCTACAGTGCTCTTTTGCTTACCAGATAATATTGTAAAATTTTGGAGCAGATGCTAATTTAGAGAGCTAAAAAGTAATGCATTCAAGAGCATGATACTGGTTACATGCCAAACTTTGCAGATTAAAAATTTGGTTCTCCTCTGTTATTAAGAATCAGTCGTTAAACATAGACAAATTTGCAGTTTATTGACATTGACCTATTTCATTTTTAAAAAAAACTTTTCTTGAGTTTTTCGCTAGACTTCAAATGGGGTATTGTTATAGTCAAAATTAAAGTTTCTTTGAGATGAAAAACTGTGCTGGACAATGTTGATCACGCGGCCTGTTGGCTCAGTGGTAAAACTGTCAACAGAGTGAGCGTAGATAAAACATCTCACCTTCGGCCCGACCCACGACCAAACATCCCTTGGTAAATATACACACCATAATGGATAATTGTCACCCATTTAATGTTGGCATGTATACCTATATTATACTATGTGCTAAAAGGGAACAAAAACCTCAAAAAGCCGGCAAACTGTTTCTTTGACTCTTTCTAGTATTGTCGGTAAATTAAATAGCCACAGTTTGCTTGGTAACAGTGAATCAGATGTTTGGTTTTTTGCCTCAATGATTCTGTTTTTCAAGATGCTATTATCATTCTGGTTTATTTAAGGATCAATTAATGCTTGGTGCCTTCAGGGCTAAGGGCATGCTTATTCTATCTTTATTTACAATTTCTTTAAGCACTAACTTTCTCACTAATCATGATGCATTGTATGAGTTGTGTCCCTTTTGTTATGTTTTGAAGGTGTCTGTCTTATCTAACACGAGGCAGGAAAATGTTAAAATGTGTTTAATTAATTTTTTTCACATAACTGTCACTTGAAATTTG